GGAGCTAGTGGTGGACTTTTGAAGAAGGAGATCCAACACTATGACACCGATGAACAGACATTGAGATAGTGGACTCTTATGAGTACCTAGGTGTTCATCTGAATAACAAACTGGACTGGACTCACAACACTAAGGCTCTGTATAAAAAGGATCAGAGCAGACTCTTCCTGCTGAGGAGACTGAGGTCTTTTGGAGTGCAGGGGGGGCTCCTAAAGACCTTCCTAAAGACCTTCCCTCCATGTGAGAAGAAGTGGAGGTGTATAAATATCTTCATGTTCAGAGCAGTACTCCAGGAAGAGGCTGAAGTCTTTTAGCGTTTGTATCTAAACGCTGCATATCTTCTTTGTCAGAGGTACTTAAGCCCAATCCTCCAGAGCTACCATCCCGCCACATCCTCTAAAACACTGAACTAAATTACATACTGGGGGAATTCAGCAATATATGTGTTTGCATAAAAAAAAGGCATAATGGTATCTCTCACTGGACTTGGGCATTCCTGTTCTAGGTCCAGTAGGGAGAGTGTGATGTCTTCTGCCATCTTCTGTTAGGGTAACAGCATCAGATGAGATTACAAGCTGGTAAAGAAGGTTGGTTCTGCTCTGGGACTCCTCTTTAACCCTCATAAAAGAAAGAGTGTTATGGAAAAAACATTATATTTAAATATATAGAACATAAAATTTCTGTTCATTAGACTGTCTTTGGTCAGATTATCTGGATTCAGTGCAAGACAGACCACTAAGGAAAATAACATATTCAACCACTCACTGAAATTAACCTGGAATTAAAACATTTGACTCCCACTTGGGATCAATAAAGTATTTGTAAAATCATTCTTAGCAGTATCAGACCAGGGCTTCATCAGCTGTCAGAGTAGATCCTGGTCTATTTCTCAAAGCGCTGTAGCATATTGTACATCTTAACATATGTTTGCGTATTTCATTGATTCTTAGTGTTTTGAAAAATTGGTAAATTCTCTGCCAGACATAACAGTACTGTCATGATCTTGGCACTGATGACTGGATTATTGGTTCATTTCTTCCACCTGCTTAGCTCTGCCCAGTTTTCATTTTCACTCATCAGATCCACCTGTTCCAGTTCCTATTTAAAGTGCTTGTTCCCAGCCATCATTGCCATACTATTTGAGCCGTGTGTGAGCGTTCTCTAGTGTACCCAGTGTGTTTCCAAATACCTGATCCTGACTAGATTTTGCCTTTGGACTTCTGAGTTTTTGCTTGCCCCTGTTATGATCTGTTTTGCCTGAGCTATCCTAGGACTCTTTGGATTCTCCCTGCTTATGACTTTGGATCCGTCTCCTGAACCAGGCGTGGATTTCCCTTCGGTATCCCTTCGGATCTCCGGATACTGCTGCTCTTCCTCATCAACTGGTTTCTGCTTGTTGGTCTGCTCTGCAGCACCTTTGGCTTCTACTCCTAGAACTCTCTGGGTTCCACTCCTTTCTCTAAGCTCGGACTGAACTCACAGAGCAGTAAATAAAACACTTTTAGAAAATCACCTTCGTTCTGTCTGCCTGAATTCTGGCTCCTACACTCCTGACAAGCAGGCTGTCCTCAGCCAATAACCAAATAAATACATTTGAACCAGATGGGGGGTCACGCTCAAGGAGTTGTGCAAAAAATGGCTCAGATTTGGTGTGATACTGAAGTTTGGGTACTCTGATCAAAAAATAAAATCATAAGCAACATGCCTGAATACAACTCAAAAGGGAAATGTGAGAAAAATAATGAAATGTGAACCTTTAAGTTTCCTTTGTTCTCAAGTCTTAATTAAGTTAGAATGATTTAATACGTTTCGCTGCAGCTGGAACCAAGTCAGATAATACAGACTTGATTTAGAATAAGAATTATGAATTTAAAAGCACCTGTGACAACAAATAATCCTTATCTGCACTTGTTTCCACTTTACCAAAACAGAATGAATATCAATTTTAGCTTGTTAAATATACTTAAGTTAGCTGTTAATAAAATGAAATCTGATTATGTATGATTTGACCTCACAGGTGTGTAACTGTGTGCAAGTTAAAAAAGAAGCAGACTGGAGGATAGGTATAATGCATTCTCTCTGGTTTATTCTGGTTCTTTAGGAAGAATTCAGTTTTAAATTACAAAATGCACTCTTAGAAACAGCAGGATAGAGAAAGAAACTGAGGAAGAGAAAGAGATGGTCAAAGAAAGGGAGAAAAAGAAGGGACTTCATAGCCAGAATAAATGGGAATAACATCACCAGATTCAGTTTCAGGCAACTCTTTACTCTCAATGGGATTGTTTTTCATCAAAGAAAAGCTATGTATGCATTGTCCCACTGTTTAAAATCCTCTGTTCTTTTTTTTTTTTTTTTAAACCCCTTACAGTAAAGTGTTATCTAACTTTGTTGCCCCGCAGTTTCCCCCCAGTGAAAGAACTGGCAAATATAACAAACATTCTTTGATTTCATCACCAAAATCATTTCCATTTTTTGTCATAACTTTTTTATTATATATTTTTTAATCTTTTTTTTTTGCAAAGTTTTTTCACATTTTTTGTTTTTAAAAATAGAAGAAAAGGAAACACATTGCTCTTAAAAACATCTATCTCTATATATATATATATATATATATTTTATTTTTTTTTACATATATATCCTTTTTTTCTTTAAATTGAATATCTTTTTTTAGTTCCTGAAGTTGATTTGTTAACCCCACATAGTGGCATGCACATTGCACATGCAAATCTGTAATTAAATACTTCTCTTTTTATCTTAAATTGCCATATATGCTCGTATTTTTTTCTTTTTTCTCCTAACTTGCTGAATGAATCCTGTATGGTTTTTCTAGTGTGGCACTGGTTCGGTTTCTACTGGGTCGACCAATGGATGGTATGCTATATCATGGGATGGACACTTTGCAGTTGCTTCAGAGACTTTTCCCATTGCATCTTTTCACAGAAAAATATCATTTGTATTTAATACTTGAACCTGTTTTAATAATATTCAATTCACTCTCCAAACAATTTACTCTTTTTTTTACTTTAACATAATTTTGGATTTTAGCTTCAACACTGTAGGCCTTCTCTAAGTGGATTTTTTTGTTAAAGTTTACCAAGAGCAAAACTAATAGATATTATCTGTTCTTTAAGACATTTGGCAATTTTTAAGAAGTATTTTTAAATTGATCTGCCTGCAGCGTCTTTGATGCCAACTATGAGAGTGAAATGCTAAGGATAAATCCTCTGAAGCAACTTGTCTCTGCTAAGCTCATGGAAACAAATAGAAAAAAAAAATGGAAATAGAGAGAGGATCCTTCAGGGATGCAGAGGCAACAGGAGACATCTAACCCACATGTAAGAAACAAAGTACCGACTGCGTACGTTTATGTAGCCAAACTAGTTTTAGAGATTTGATTCCACTCTGAAGATGAATTTTCAATCATTTGGAGCAAAGCAGTTTGCAAAATAATACAAATGCCTGCTACATCTGTCTCTTAAGTTTCTATCAGTCAGTTTCTATCATAAAAACGTAGAATTTTTATCTTCTTATGTTGTTATACCTTATACATCAAATAAACTGTTTTTCAGACTTCTAGATTGCAGGTGACAAACAAAGACACTAAAATCTGTCAGTTCTACAGTTTGGCTTCATAAAGTTTAAGAAAAAAAGTCATGTAGCAGACAGACCCTCACAAAAAAAAAAAGACCACCAGCACCTATTCAAATAGGCTTTACCTGCTCTGCCTTACTGATGAGAAGAAACAAAAAAAAGTTTAATCCTGCGACCTTGTGTTCAAAAGTGGTATAACATGCACAATGGGCTGGAATGAATAAGAGAAATGAAAAAATAGAAAATAACAGAATTGATGACGATGAACACGGTGGGTTTTTCAGAATCTTTATGGAATATATACACATAAATTACAGACCAAATGTACATTTGATGACATGAGACATGGTGACAGAATGACTCATCCACATCTCACTCTACCAGGCATTCTCAAATCCACCAACACAGAGATTCTCACTCACACACACACAACCTCACAGTTCTTACCCATGAACTGAGCGAGTAAGGGTGAAAGACAAAGATGATGCAGTGATAATGATGAGTGGAAAGAGTCATCATGTCCTGTGGAGAGTAAGGCACTGAGGGTTACCTTCTGCAGCTGATGGTGTGTGGACACACTGAGACACGTGATAGTGAATGGACTGCTTTAAATCACTCACACAACAAGGGCTGAAACGTCTAAATTTGGCAAAAGTCATACTAATACAGAGGTTATACTGTACTGGTTAGGGAAAATGAACTTAAATTCTGAATTTTATGATTGCAAGTTGAATAACTTTTGTTTGCGAACAATTTATAATTGTGAATGTTAGTTCTGTCATTTAAATGGTAAAAAAAAAAAAAACTTAATCTCATTGTTATGTATGGTATAGAAAGGCAAGTTTACAACTGGTGAATATGTTAACATTTGTTCCCACCATTTAACTTCATTTTTTGAAAAACAGAATCTTTGATTTAAATAAAAACCAACGCAATACAAATCTTGGTACCAGTAGGTGGGAGCAGAGTTGATATTCAATCCAAAAGCCAAATCTGTGCTAGTTAACAGATTTTGATCATTTCATACATACCTTTTTCCTCTCCAGCACTATTTGTACGCCTCATTCACCAACTCTTTGCATATGCAGCAACTTTGAACATTTAACATTTAAATAGGTATTCTTGGATCAACTGTAAATTTATTAAACCTTTCTATTCTCACTTATTAATGCCTTGAGGCTCTATTTAAAGTTTAATGGAGACAGATTAACACCAAAGAGAAAGTGTGAAAACAAATCCACCAGGTCCTCTAGATATTGTGTGCTATCTTAAATGCAGCTATAGTGGGTAAAAATTGGGTAAATGCAAATTTAACTAAAAATACATTAAAATGACAGTGGGTTTACTTTAATCCCAGTTTTCCAGCCATGACTAATTTTGTTTGCATTTAAGCTGGAACCTGTTTTTTCCTAATATTTGCATTAGTGTGAAGCTGGCCTGTAAGGTATACTTGACTAAACAGCTTCAGCCTCTTAAAATGTAAACAGTATTTCATCTGCATGGGAACAAAAATGACCAAATGATAATAATACAACATATATACATAGATTCAGAGAGTTAAATGTCTCCTTGTCACAGCAGTAGCCCTGCTCCTCTCAAAGCAGGAGTAGATGAGGGTCAGTTGAAGATGGCGCTCGAGTGTGAGCTTGAAAAAATGGTCCAGTGCCATTGTGAAATTGTGTATCAGCAGCAAATAACCTTATGCTGCCATGCCCACCTGAGGCCCCCGCCCTCCACCCACAACAGAACCCCGACATCAGCTACTCTTTTCTTTTGCCCCCCCCAAAAAGTACCGCCTCCTCACACACTCACACTCATGCACACATATAGTGCTGTACAAAGGGGAGACCACAGCGTGGCTTTAGCTACATACTGTAAGCACAACTTTTGGCAGCACTACTGTACATTAATCCCCACTGTGTGGTTTGTTTTTTTAAAGAGCCCTTTTTGTGTATTTGTCAACACGTTACCTTACGACTAACCCAATGACACAATTTCACAGCTGACTGAGAAGATTGGTGTTGCGTTTGTTAGTTTTTTCTAAATCCCATGGGCGAAAAAGAAACAAAAATACTCAGATATTAACACCACAAGGGGGGGAAAAAAAGCCATGGGTTAGACAGAAAACAGATATAAAGTTAGATGATGAAATAGTTGCATCCCCCTTAAAGAGAGTTCAATAAAATGATTATATTATACAGAAAAACATAACCAAACATTAGATGTTTGCTTTTGTTTCCCAAACAGGACAAGGTTTAGGAAAATACTCATACACACAACATGCTTCCACACAAGGGCAATGTTGTGTGTCGGCCTTTTGGAATTCGCTGTTACAATTCAGGACGAGCGAGTGGAGCCGAAATGAAAGTTGTGTCATTTTGGTGGATTCTGCAGACTTTTAATGGGATTGATAAAGAATGAGGTGTGTAACGTACATGTGGTGAAAGGACAGGGGTGAGAATGATAAGATACCATGCCAAGTAAAACCATACGATAACTTAATCTGAGAGCTGCCTGTTCTGTAGCGGTTTCTCCCCTATGTAATCTAACTAGCTACCTAGCTCTAGAGGGACCTGAGAAGTAAGCAAGAAGCTTTGCACCTCTGAAAACCTCTAACTACATCATCTGAAACTGTACAAAGGATAACTGTAGGATGGGCATAAATTGGTGCCATGCCTAAGCCAAAGGGGCTAGCCAGCTAGTAAGATCTGGAAGCATTGGCCGCTGAGTCTTAAAAAGTCAAATCCACCAAGGCTAAGATTGAAACTATGAAGGTCTCTTATGGTTTTTCTTTGTAGCTGTTAGAAAACAGAGTGCCTGAATGGGAGGTTAAAATAGTTCTGCCCATTCTGAATGTGCATCAAGCTTTGCCCCTGCACCTTGTCCTGACCGTGGCCCAGTTTCAAAATCATCACTCTCCCTGTTTCAAATGCTAGCGTGGGAGCCGGTGAGATTTGATTTTAAGGCGTAGTGTGTTTGACACATCTACTACACAAGGGGGAGGGGACCGACGAGAGCAACTGTGTGGGGGGAGTCGGGGTGATGAATATGATTGAGATACAGAAGGCACTGTGGCTCTGTAGGGGGCTGTGGAAAACCATCCTCACCTGCTGTAACTTCTTGTAAGGTGAGGCCAAAAGGTTCTACAATAAGCACCCCTTTCCTTCCACTGAACTGACAAAAAATAAATAAAAAACCACAATCCAATTTACCCTACAATGCTTAAAATAATAGCCTGGAGGGCATCAGATCATATGAAAGCAGAAATTTGAACTGGGAGAAGGGATCCGCCACGGAAGGGCTAAATAAAAAGAAAAAAGGCAGCAACAACTGTAAATAAAAAGGAAAATTCACTGTGGGTGTGATGACAAGGTGAAAAAGGGGTATCAGTGTTAACATTAACTCCTACATGCAGATTCCTGTTCCATTATGCAGCACTTATGGCCGCCGGTCACCCCTGTAGATGATGCACATGAGGTCTGCATAGAGTCAAAATGTGTGTTTTGTGGTTTGTCTTGGATTTCTGCAATTGCATGAAAAACAAAAGTAGCATTAGTATGCAAAATAAATCAATATCTGAATCTCTATGTTTTATATTTCATTTATAACTACATCTACAATATTTCTATGTTAATCTTTAAGTAATAAACTATCTTTTAATCTATGCTCTATTCTATTATTCTAGAATTCTTGATCATTCAGTAACTGTCGATCCTCGTAGCAGTAAGGGATGAAATATATTTTTCGAAGGTGTTTTTATTCCATGGTCTAGAGTCGATCTTTAAAAAGCTAAATGCCCAGATGTTAAAGCAAACTAACTGACGTCAAGCTAAGATAAACTAAAGCTAAATTGGTGGTTTCTTAAGCATTTTATGGGCAGATTATGTAGATTTGCTACAAACTCACTTCACTGGGCAGGGGTGTCTTCCCAGAAAAGGTTGGGGGGCGGGGGATGGCGTGACAAATGGAAAAATACGATACGGCAGCTCTCAGGGCACATCAGTGTTTTCCTGACAAAGGATCTGATTTCTATTCATTGCGACTTTATAGTTACTTGAAAGTTGATTGCAAGATTAGAAGAGATTAGAATGTGGCCAAAAGAAAACACTGTCCAGTACAGGGCGAAGGCAGGGTAAAAATTGGGTGCTGATAACTGCACTGTGGTGGCAAAAACACCATCTCACTGACACCAACCTTGGACTATCAATACTACTCAGTGCTGGCAACTAATCCTAAACTATAAAGCCAAAAAAACGGCTTTATTAATGGGGCAATAGGTCGGAGGTCAACCCTACAGGGAGAACCATGTAAAATTAGCTCACACATTCTCAATGAGTTGTACTCCTCCACTCTAAACACCAGTTACTGATCTTTGGGTTGGCTTGAGGAGATCCTGTGGGTGACTGCAAGACAGGATACTGAGATTCCCCTGACTTCTGCCCTCACTGTTCCGGAGAGAGAATGCATCTTCACTTAGCGGTGCGTTACAACACGCAACACTGCTAAGTGAGTGTTTGTAAAACCATTGTTGCCCAAAAAATATTGCACAAAGGCATCAGGAACCCGGTAAACATCACTGAGCACGGGATATTAACATAAGGAATGTGAAAGCTAAATGGACATAGCTCGTCTGAGCTCCATTAAACATGACAGAAAGTCTACAGCAACAGTTCTAACACTCAATAGTCAATCGTTACCGGTATCATCATTGTCACTCATTTGCATTGAAATAAAAAATAATAATCATCATTAATTTCTGATATCATCAATAAGAGCAACTTAAGTGTGGTAGAAGTTCCCTTCTATCCTTCCTCTCTCTCCCCCTTCGATTACTTAAAACACAGGACACTAGTGGGACCCTGTAAAGTAGTTTTTTTTTGTCTCTTGACACGTTGCAGAAACTGAGCTTTCAACAGAAAACAGAGACAGATAAAATACTTTTAAATCTGTTAAAGTCTGTATCAGGTAAAAAAAACAAAAAAAATAAGTATATATAAAAATGACTTTTGACAGGTTTCAGAGAGACACACAGAAAGAGAGAGAGTCTGATAGAAGTTAACTTCTTTTTCAAACCTAAATGTTAAGTTTCGTATAAAGCCCCCCAGGTCCCACTCCCACCACACCACTTAGATTTCCACTCTACTATGGATTATATCAATCATGCAGGTTTCCATCCAATTTTTGGACTTTGAAAAAGATCAAAGGAGGCTGAGCGAATGCAACAGAAGAACCAAGCTCCAAATGTCCGAAGAAGAACAAGGAGAAGTAATTGATAGAAGAAATACTGAAGAAATTGGTCTGTTCCCCCCCCTCTCATCCCTCGTTTCTTATCCTCCGCCATGTTCAACTGCATGATGTCATTTCCTGTCCGGTCTTCGTTCTCCAATGCTGGGTCGATCAATAGAGCAGGGAAAGAATGCCAATGTGACCAGATCCCTTCTCTAGTAACCTGGGCCCATCCCTCCGGTGCTCTTTGACAGAAATCTAGCCCACCTTGGGCCTTACCACTTTCCGTCCACTGCCATCTGGACAGGAAGTGATGTCACAACATTTCCATCCCCATTAGGCAAGTCCATAACAGTAAACAGAGATGATAAAACTCATCAATATCAGCCTGCCGTGTGATTGGCTGGGTTTTGCAGTATAGGCGGAGCTTCATAAGTTCTGTCCCCTTGGACACAGAGAGATAATTAAAGACAAAGTAAAAGTACTCCCTTTTTGAAGTTTTCACTGTCATGTGAAGTGTAACTGTCTTCTTCATTGTTCAAGTTTCATTTTCTGGAGGCATAGCTTGGCATGTAAGGGTTAGTGGGGGAATCCTGGCTTTTTACTACCTTATCGTTCTTTTTTTTAAACGTTTTGTTTTAGAGCAGAGTCTAAGCGTTGTACTCATCATTCAAGCTTATTTCTGAAGTAGTCTGGGTAGTCTGAGAGGTTGAACACATCTGTTAGATCTAATGCCGGTCCGAGCAAAGTGCTGTAAGGCCTGGAAACGATCACATCACACTGTTTTAGAACCTCAAGCTCCTCCTTGGATCTCTGTTCCCTCAACTCTCTTTTCCCTTTGAACTGTACCGTAGGGTTAGTTATGGGAAGAACAGTTCTGAGACTGAGGGAGCCAGAGGTAAACTGTGCCCTGGCCATGCCTATGTTATCAGGACTTCCATGGTATTAGGATAACCATGTGCTGCTCTGTCAAAGATTTGATCTTTTGGAAGAAAGAAATGTGTAAAAGGCTCCTAGCAGCACCATTGCCCTTCTACCTCCACCCCTGCATCTTTTTAGAGTCTAAAGGTGGAAGGTAGGGGGTCTCAAAACTTTTGCCATCACATTTTAAAAAGTTTACATATATACCAGAGCACCGGAGGTTGTGGTTCTTATTCTCCTCTGCTGTCTGTGTCTAATGCTTTTGCTAGCACCAGTCATCCTCATCAGTCTCACTGTAAGGTTCGTGGAGACCCTTGCGGGGCCCTCTGGGATGAGGTGGTCGGTGGTGGGGTGGAGCTGCCCCAGGTGGTCCCCTCCTTTGTGGGGAAGGCGAGGATGAGCGGTAGCCATTAGGAACCCTACGCGGATGTGGGTGAGGGGGTGGAGGGGGCCCATGACGAGCAGTCCTTGGTGAGCGCGGATGTGGGTGTGGATTTCCTCCATGTGAATGAGGGTTGCCATGAGAGAGGCTTTGCTCATAGGCCGGAGGCTCATGGTGCCGCTCGTACTCATAATCTCTCTCATAGAAGGGTCCGTCGCCCTCTAGGCTGTCCCCTGGAGGAGGACCGCTCCAGCGGTTTCGGTGTGGAGACCGAGGTGACCCGTGGAGTGGCGAGTGCGGTGACTGATGTCGAGGTGAGCGTGGTGAACCGTGCCTGGACGAGGATCCGCCATGGTGCGGAGAGGCGTGACGTGACGGGGGTCGTTGGTGGTAGCCTCTGTCATGATCTGGTGGGGAGAAGTGTCGAGGGGAGGGTGAGCGCAGTCGGCCTGGGCCTGGGGGGCCGTATAGAGGCTTTCGGACAGCGGGGGAGTAGGTGACATGTGGACGTGGGACAGCAGGAGTCTGTGGTAGCTGGCGGCGGCCTCTCCTTGGAGTGCTGGTCCCCGAGGTGGATGGGACCGGGCTGCCGCTTACCGAGCTACTGCCCTACAGCAAAATGTAAACAAGGAAAATCAAAACACACCACAACAAGAAGGCAAAAATAGAAGGCAGCAAAGAAAACAGAAAGAGACAGACAGACAGGAAGACAGACAGACAGACAGACAGACAGACAGACAGACAGACAGACAGACAGACAGACAGGCAGACAGACAGACAGACAGACAGACAGACAGGCAGGCAGGCAGACAGGCAGGCAGACAGACAGACAGACAGACAGACAGACAGACAGACAGACAGACAGACAGACAGACAGACAGACAGATACCATTGCAAATGTATTGAAGCATATGAATAAAGCCACAAATTAAGTTGAAAGTTACAACAAAAAAAAATAACACATTGCATTGCGGAAATGAAGAAAAAGTCGACAAAGCAAGAAAAAGACAAAGCAAGAAAAAAAAAAAGAAACAAGAACAGATAGATTGATTTCCATAAGTACAGTAATAGGAAGAACTGTGAACATTTTTCATCGTAAACCGGAGCTCCAGCCATGGATCTCAGGTTTTCAAAACATCACAATCTTCAAAAATCAACTCTGTACCATAAAAAAACTACCAAGTTTGACTCAGGCTATAATTACAGCCAATGAAAAATGGTTAGACCACCACTGTTTATGTAATTTGATGTTTTAATTTGTATTACATCAAGAATACAGCGAATTAGGATATTCTGGCCAAAGTTAAACTGGAGTTAATACTTGGTGGTGTAAAATGTATAGAATAGATATCTTTCATTGTAAGAGCCACAATTACCTACAGCAATTAATCAGCCAATAGCAATTCACTTGTCATCAAGTGCCTATTTTGTACATTACACATACTTTCTGTTTTGATTTTTTTTACCCATTTGATATTTATGCATTCCTAGTTGGCATCTTTTCTCCACAGCCATGTTTTCCCTCCTTCTTTCTTAAGATTATATTTGTTGTACATATGCACAACAACCAAAAGGGCAGTATTCTTTGTATTCTTTGCTGTGTTTGACCCTGGTGGCACCGGCAGGTAGTTCTAATAGCTAATAGACTGGTCAGACAGACTGACTTCCACAGGGCACAAGACAGTCTGATAAGGCTCAAGACTCTGGTCTAAAATGGACCAGACCAATCCCTGTACAGGAGGCGGGCCAACAATGCAACAGCGATTTTCTGTTAAGATTGCAGCTGCAGTGGATCCATGATTTAATGATTCGTTTATTGGGTCCATAAAGAGCTGTTTACATCTTTAGGATTTCACCAACTAGCTGCTGTAATTTTTTTGCTGCATTTTTTTTTTAAAGACATTTTTGCATCACATCCGTAGTTACCCGATTGGCTCTACACTGTTTCTGTTGCCTCTGCCTCACCTAAAAAAATTTTCTCTACCAGCTCATTTCCTGACTGGTAGGCCATATTTATGGCAAAAGTCAGTCCGGCTAACCAGGCTAGAAGGCTTATATGCTGATAAAGTGACTGCTATGTAATGTCACCATTGTAGCAGTATATTGGATCTTAGGATATGTATAAGATCCACCCTGTTCTGGGTAAATAGCTATATAAGGCTGCTAAAATTATGTCGTTAAGAGGATACAAAAGGAAAAATGTGATCATATTTTGAAGAAGTGTAACCAATAAAATAAAAAGCACACTAAAAAACGTTGCAATAACAATCCCCTTTGGATGAAACATGGGAAACTTTAGTGGTGAGAATTGATTTCTCCTCATCTACCAAAACCGCCTCTATGTTGCAGAATATTTTGAACCAGGTCTGCATTCTTTGATTTAGGGGTAAGATCATGCCGAAGCTGAGAAGAGCATACGTCTGCAGGTAGAAAATATAACTCGAGCAGAGTTGACTCGACCAAAGAGATGATAGCAGCTGTTGCTTTTGAACTGTTCTCCCTGCTGCCCACTGGGAAGACGCTTCTCAGCATCCACTGCAGGGCCATCAGGTCCTGCAACAGCTTTTTCACCGCTACCATCAGACTGTTGAACTGTTGGGTTCTAAACTGGATTCTGCATTACACTCGCAGCATTATTTTGCACAACCAACATGGCTGAAACTTTTATAATCCTTTTAAATAAGACGCAACTCAATATTCTACTGCATTTTGCACCATATTTATTTTGCATTGCACTGAACCTTTCCATTTTAATGCCCTTTTGCACCATTATTTTTTAAACTGGTTTTCCTTTTCTCCTATACTGCTTACATGATGCACTTTAAATGGTAATGTTTAATTCCCTGTTCACTGATGGAAGTTGTAAGCGATGTAATTTCCTTTTGTATACAGTTGGTGTATATAAAATTACGACAAAGTTTGCCTAAGTCTAAGTTTTGAACATAATGTTTTTTAGTCAAGCTTTATCAATCAGGACTTTTTACTTTATAACGTGTCTACTGTACCATCAATAAAGAAATAGCTGCTGATGTATGATAAATGCTGCAGTTAGAAGGAACGATGAGAACTTCTCATAAGTTATGCACTTGAGCAGACAATAACACATATCTACATGATATTGTTTTGCTTTCATTAAACCTTGCTGTCTTTAAAGCTCACCTGTCTGTGACCTCTTCCGTCAGGCCCCTCACTAGGAGACCGGGACCAGTGGCGGTCATGGGGGTGCCTATGTTGGTATTCATGGCGGTCATAGCGCTCCTTGTCCATTGAGCTGTGATGACGGTGATGGTGGTGGTGATGACGCCGGTCCTTGGTGCGTCCACGGTCTCTCTCCCGCTCTTTGGGAGGCAGATCACCTGACTGTGTAGTGGTGCTGAGGTCTGTGCCCAGACCTAGACATGAAATAGATATCATACCTGTCAAAGTTAGACATGCAGGTTACGAAAACGTATAGTCTAGGTGCTTTCCATATAAGAAAGACTCTTCTAATCTAATAACACATGGCTTTTATCTTTAACATAAAACAGCTTTAGAAAAGAAAACAATACATCTATTCATCAAACAAGAATGAAAAATAATATATAGATAATTTCAAAGAGACAAAAAAAAAGGATTTTTGATCAGACAGTTGAACAATTTTCAGTCTTTAAATTGACTTTGCAGGATAACTCACATGATTACAATTATATTCCTTTTATGCACTTCTTTTGGCTTAAATTTACCTTAAAAAAATCTTAAAGCTCTTTGCACATTTAAAATGTTGTTACACTACAACCACAGATTTCCATACATCCTTTTCAAAAGTTGTACAAAAATTCTGAAGTGTGCCTTAAGTTTCTCTTTAGGCCACATAGTTAATACTTTAATTACAACCTTTTTCTGCAACAAATATTTAGTGAGTTTTTTTTTTTTTACCAGCTTTGCACATCTAGATGCTTTCAGACTGGACAGAGTCATTTTAAAGTCTTGATATAGGACTTAGTTTGACTTAACCATCCTACTACAGTATTCACTTGGAGAATACACTGTGTTCAGTATTTGCCCTGCTAGAAGGAAATCTGTAACCATTTTTGTTCCAGATTGCTCTGCACTTTCATTCTGTCCAACCTTTATGTGATTCTGACCATCTTTCCGGTCTCTTAAAGGAAAAGTATTAACATAGCATGATGCCGTTACCCCAAAATTCCACTATGTGACCAGTGTTCAGGGCTGATTTCTATATTTTAGATTCAAGAACACGCTGCAAATTTTGACCAAATGTTACGTTTTGTCTTAAATAACCATGGCACCTGCTGTATCCCCTACAGAACCCATATCAAACTAAAAATGGGAGTTCTTGCAGATTTTTTTTTTAACAATGACTTTGTTCTTGCCACTCTTCCCATAAAAGGGACATTTGTGGAGTAGATAACTCATCTGCATGCATGTGCATCCTTGTATTCACAACCACTAACATCGTCTAACAAACCTCTGAGTTCTTCAAAGTGCAGCCTATGTTTTTCTAACGGAAAAAAGTATACTTTTTAATCATTAGGCAACTTTCAGGGGATATCTGAGAAAACTAACCTGAATATAAATGCACACCACAAATATTTTCATTACAAAAAAAACAGAACAAAATCTCTGTATACATTTATTTACTGTTCACAATCTACAATAGATTCAATAGCTAAAAAATATTTGCATAATTAGTTCAATGTTGTCTAAACCCTAAAATAAAAAAACCCGGTCACCTGTGTCAGCGTCTGTATATCTGGTTAGTGATCGCTGTGAAGTGCGATGACTTCTGTCCCTGTGCCTGCGCCCACCGCCGTGTCTCGCCTCCTCAGACACCACCCTCTCCAAAGAGTAGTCATCCAGCCTCACTCCACGACCTGAACGCCCGTGGACCAGACTGGAGGTAGAGCGACGCATTGGACTGTTGTCAGTAATGGTCTTTAAGGACAAAAGAATGGGATAAAAGACATAAAGAAAAGGGAGGAAGGATAAGAGGATAGGGGGAAAAGAAATAAACAACAGGGGTAAAAGAGAGACAAGGGGGGAAATAAGTTAGATTTATTGCTTGCTAAATGTTTATTCTCAGTTGCAAAAGTAAAGTAAACGTCTTTATTCAACTTTCTACTTTTCACCTGTCAGAGGTCTATTATCATTCTTGGTTGAGCAGCAGTAAATTAAAGGTAAGCTGTGGTGTGCATGTGAGATCTTTCTTAATTCATTTCTAGAGCACTTGAACAGTACACATTCCTCTGATCCCTACTAGGTAAGAATTTTAGAATCATAAAAAAAAAAAATCTCACATCTTTACAAACAAAGAAATGAAACAAACAGTGATATCAACTGACAGGCAAGAAAGACAGATGCAGTGAACGAGCAAGTGGACTATAAAAACCATGCCTCACATGCACAATGCAGGAGGATTTTATACTTCTATTCACAGCAGACATATTTCACACTTGAGAAGCAAAACATAAAAAATCTTTAATTTATTTATCTAATGCAATCGAAACAAAGTCTCAAGAATAAACAAACAAAATAAAAACCAATAGCAAACACCCAGTTCCTCTTTATGGCAGTTTTTCTTTTAACCTTAAAATCGTTAGTTGCTATGAAACCACATGTCTAGGTGTAAGAAATTGGATGGTAGAGGAAAGTGAAAAAGTTTAGTGTTGTGTTTTACGTTCTGCATTGTATCCATTGTATCCTTGTGAACTAAACAGATATGAAATCGGTTTAGTGTCAAGAGTTGATTCCAACTCCTGAGGGAGGGAGGTTTAAAACAGAATAGATCACATGTATTGCTCTAGTTTTTGATGTAAACTTTAAAGTATTATGACAATAAAGTTTGTCTAAGTCTTGTTATAAGTATTTACACTTCAGCCTTCACATGGCATCCCATTCTTCATCCATCCATTTTATCAAGTCGTTGGTACATCCTTTTCAATGAGAAGAAATCCGTGAATTTCTTTTCACAAGGTTTATGAGTGTGTTTACTGGTCGGACAAGTGGATCCTTGTCTTTATGGACCTTGCTTTGTGCACTCATGCACGTTTAAGAAGAAAATCTTCTGACAAAGTTGGGACCTTGACAGTGCCCAAAATATGTGTCTCTTCACTAGAAATCAAAACGGTTGAGCCTAAACTCTTCAGAAAGCAGGCCTATATCATGATACCCACTCCACTAAGCTTTACACTGTGAGGTCAGAAAAGTGCTTTTCTGCCTGGAGATGCCAAATCCAGGATTGTCCATTAGCCTGACGCCTGTCATTCCAGAGAGAATATCTGTATTGTTGCAGAGCGTGGTTAAAGCAGTTTACGCTTAAGTTCATAATTTAGCGCTCCTCGTTGGAAATCTTCGACGATCTGGGCCCATATCCACAAAGATTATCAGATCCCTCTCAGGGAGCTCCCGTTGAGGCCTAAACATTCCTGCCAAGAGGTTTTAGGTTACAAGTGATTTAGATTGATGCTTATAGAAAAAACTAGACAGAAATTCCTTTCCTATCTTAGTCAGGAGGAGTGTCTGACCCTCTTGTTAGGTCTGATGCTTCCTTGTAAGAGCTGTGGCTGGTTTAAACAAGAAACACAGAGCCACACTGAGTGTTGAACTACCTTTTAACTCAATGGTCCAGGGATCTCTATCGGAAGGAAAAGATTTTAAAGTTTTTTCTCTCTTTTTATCAGTGTATTTATATTTTCTCTGCTTTATACAAATAACAGAGAAAAGATTGCAAATCACAAGCAAATATCCAGATGACCATTAAGACACTGGATACTTCGTCTGTAGAGTACAAGACTGACTCCCTTTCACATTTATTTCAACCTTTCTTTCTACTGCAGAGAATGAATATAATAATAATAATAATAATTGATCTTTATTGATCTCACATTGGTGAAATTTACCTCCGCCTTTAACCCATCTCCTTGGGGAGCAGTGGGCTACCATCGTTGGGCGCCCAGGGAGCAGGGTGAGGGTGGCAGTCTGTGGGAGGGGGGCTCGAACTCAGAACCTCAGGATTCTAAGCTCTATGCCCTAAACCCTAGGTTGCCACTCTCCCAAGAGAGGCAAACTTTTGGAGAATGTTTTTTTTCCTTCAGTAAATACAAGATTATTGTTTGGTTAAACAATAATGTTTGAGTGTTTAAAAATCGTATTAGAACATAAAATACACAACTATTCAAATGTAATATAAAACCACTCAGTATCAAAAGTATGTGATTTATAGTCTAGGGTAAAATTATAGCTTTGTATTATAGTACTAAATGCTAAATCCATGTTTACTTCATTGTATTCCTACCTTACAGACTGTAAACATGTTCTTTGCATGAAGAAGAACATTGCTGCTGAGTCTGTAATATTATTGTTTTCAAGAAAAAAAAAGTAGAATGTTTCTATGAAGGATATGCTAAATCCTGGGCTAACCTCTCCAGTGTTTATAAAACCATGCTCCCCCTGCTGGGTGTAAATAAGAACTGTCCATTTGAACATGCCAAATTATTAGGTATGATGAGACTAGAATTGCAACAGTTAAAAAAAAGATAAGGTGAAATTACCTGCACCGCTTTCAGATATTGTGAGCCAGTGTGTATATTTGTCAAACAAAAACTCAAACCAAATCTCTAAAACTTCTGTTTTATCTATAATACGTAACTTGTAATGTATTCTATTATAAAATGAAAGGATACTTCATGTAAGGCAACATGTAAGACTGGAGGTTTGGTTTAAAGATTACAAAATTGTACTCACTGAGACACTGAAGAAAATACATAATACCAAAGGATTTAATTCTCTTTATATAAGATAAAAGGATCCAAAATAAACAAAAAATTACCTTTAATTTAAAAGGTAATTGTGATGTTTCATGTATCTCTATTTTTACTCCAAAATCACCACTATTAGAAGAACGCGATTCTTACATGTGTTTCCAAAATCATTTCTAGATCTTCCCTTTGAATTGCGTGAAGTTAAAAGTAAAATTCTGCAGAAAAGCAGTTGTGTTTGTCCACTTTCGTCAGAGGGCTTTATCATGATCCTACAGTCTTGGCTGATATTTAAGTTCGCCTCATTCTCCTACGACGCCCTCTTACATCTGCTGTGAAACGGTCAAATCATGCATGACCAACGACATGCCGGCACACTGCCAACTCCTTAGAATATTGGGGCAGTCCATGCTTTTGTGAAACCAATCAGTAGAGATACAACACATTTAAAACACAGCATGGTAATGCATCAAACACCTCCCTCCCACTTACACACACTCACACACACATTGGGAGGGCAAACATTCATTGGACACTTAGCAAACAATTGTTAGCAGTGTAACCTTAACAGAAGCAAATAGGAAAGAGAGAAAAGAATGGGAACAAAAAGAGAATTAGGAAGAGAGGGTAAAATAAAAACGGGAAATCAAATTAGATCTGAACTATGAAAAAAGTCCCAGTGGATGAAAGAGATGGAGTCCCAGGTGGGTTTGCTTCATTTCACTGATATAATTAAAAGCCATCTTTTAAAAGGATACAAAAAGCAAGCTAATCAATTTTCATTCATTATCACATGAAATGAAAAACAAAATGTCTCAGATTTATAATTATGTATAAGCACATGTTTATTGATAACTATAATGATTTATAAGGTCTGTTTATTGATTGATTTCTAAAAAAAAAAAAAAAAAAAAAAAAAACTTGGAACAGTAAATATTCTTCTTAACAGAAGTGATAAAGACTCCTGGGACAGGTGTGGAAAGGTCTTTAAAATAACTGAGCGAATTTCTGGTTGCCTTCAAGTTTAAGAGAGTCATAAAACGAAAGAAATTTAGGCCCCGTCCACACGAAGACGAACCCTGGCCTAAACGCACAAATTTTTCACCAAACCAGCCTCTCATCCACACGAAGCCGGCGTTTCGGGGGTCTGTAAACGATCTTTTTTTTATTCAGCCTTCAGAGTGGGAAGATTTCGAAACGCTGTTTTCGCGTTTCCATCTTTACGCTCTAACCGCATATTTTTTTTTACACGCATGCGTCATAGCGTCGCCTCTAAACACGCATGCGCGACCAGTATCACAACAACAATGGCGCCGTTGCTGCTAATGCTACTCACCCTGCTGTCGGGCTTACAACAGAATCTTCTTCTTCTGGAATATCTCCAGGAAGAACAGAGCAATATCAACGACATAGTTCAGCACCTGAATTTGACTTAACCACGAAAATGGACCCGCAGGGCAACCATGTATAAATATTAGTGCGCATGCCCAACATTTCGTCGCTTATTTTTGCTTTGGCACCACAGCGCCACTTACAGGCCTGGCATACATTTTGCAGCGTTTTCATGCATTCGTGTGGACGCTCACATTTATTTTACGTCTCCGTCTTTACGGCAAACGTTTTGGAAAATATCAGCGTTTCGTGTTCGTTTTGACTTCGTGTGGACGGGGCCTTAATGAGGTTTAAAAAATGGGTCTGAAGATTCTCCATCATCCAGGTCATGGTAAAGTTTGAAAAGTTCTGTTTAGGCAACTGGATGCAAAATTTTTTAGGAGACATTTCATCTCCCATCCAAGAGGCTTCCTCCGTTCTAACACTGAGATTAATATACTTTAGGTTGAACAAAAGAATTAGGGGGAACAAATGGTGGCTCTGATCCCTCCTACTGGATTGGCCATAGAGGGACACCAGGGGGATGTTAATGGTCATTAGGGGGTTCTGATGGGTCGTTAACCCCTTCGTCAGAGTGGTTTGGGTCATACGATTCTTGACGTATAAGTCAGGTGAGGGCAGGTTCCTTCTCTAGGCATTGTTGCTCATTGTTTATTGTATTGTTCCTGAAAAATGTGTTTGGAGTTTAAAATGCAGGTGGTGGTAATGAAATCCTGAGGCCTGAATACTGACGGGATTTATTTCTGAGAGATGACAACTTTTTTCGTAAAACCGGAGACCAGAGTATGTCCTAAAATGTGCACTACACAAATACTCCAACAAAGATTTCTAGGTATTCAGGAAAGGTAAGAGAACCTCAGCATCACACCTCCTCCTGTTTCAGTCCAGTTTAGTTTAACCTTTTAGAACATTGTGGAAGACTCTGAATATGAGCAGGTGCAGGAGCTATATTCTTGTTGTCACTTTCTAACTGTCACTAAGTTATGAAAAATATTAAACCTACTAGAAAAAATTATGTTCGCTCATCTTACCAATTCGTGTGGAAATTACACTGACAATAGAGATAGGTATAATTGTTTAGCCAGTGTACAAAAATGAAATCTTACATTTCCTAAGCAATCATTCTGTCTGTTATACAGTATCACTGTATCCATCTAATGCAAAATCTAAAAAGACAAGTAAAGTAAAAAACAAAAAGGGACTTAAAGGAAAATTCATTTAGCGAGTGAAAACTTAATTGACGCCAAGTGAACTCTGGTTAAAGCAACCCATATGGCACTCAATGAGGGGAAAGAAATCAACTTGCAAACTACAAATTCAACATTAACCAATGGAGAGAAACGGAGGAATGGAGGTAGACAGAGACGGAGAGAGAGGTACATACACTGAGGTTATTTCCGCGGGGTCTGTGTCTCCTCCGCTGCAGAGCAGGCAAACACAGATGATACGTAGAGCGGAGCAGTGTAGCACACACACACACACACACACACACACACACACACACACACACACACACACACACACACCAAAACACATACACACAAAGCGTTGGTCCGATGTGGCACAGTCACCAGGACCAAAAGAGAAGAGAAAAAGACATAATGAAGGAGGTTAGAAGGTAAGACAGAAGAGAGGAAGAACAATGGGAGAGATGGGAGGGAAATAATAGATTTGATCATGTGAAATAAATGTAATACCAATCAGGTTTGGGGAATATAAAGATTAAGAGACAGGAAAAAGAGAAAGAGAACCAAGTTAGTACAAAGAGGCTGGTGTGGAGGCTTTGGACAGAGGAGAATGCTCCTTTCAACAGGAGTGGGCAGCTCACAGTTTACGATGCATGTGCATCTATATGTGCACTCTTAAACACACTTACCAAAAACAGTTTGAGCTCTCTGTAAGGCAGGGTACTGTTAGAGGACAGGGGGTCACAGGTTTTAGACACACATCTACTGTCTAACTCTCATAATGCACACAAACACACACATACAAAGCTCGTAAAGTATATCCAAAGGAGGTATAAATCTCCCAATCTGAATATAAAGGTTGCAATAATTATATCCCTCGAATTAAATATATGAGGAAGATGATATATGAGGAAGATGATATTAACTACATTTTTATATTAACTTTGTGTATCAGTTGTATAGTTGCAGATGTTTCTATTCTATAATAAATGTATGATTTAACATTGCCTCTTATGTTCACATATAAAGTTTTAAACACCCAAAATTTTAATGGTTGTTTCCTTAAGATAAACATGAGATGTTCTGTTCGAGTTTAAACGGTCTGCCTATTTATCTTCACAATAAAACAAAAACAATTCAGATAGTAATCATCATGCCAGAGGAAGGGGCAATATGACTTTTAATGTTGATGATTGTTGGAATATGGCCGTATTTGTTTTTCATGATGTATATGTGCATGGATGCACCTACAGCCCCACAACCAAGAGTCAACAGAGGACTAATGAAAATATGTTAAGGTGCAACGTTCTGCTAAAAATATAAAACATATTAGTGTATCTAAAATTCCTAAAAGAACTGGTTTAAAAACAAGAATTTAAAATATCTCAGGTTATGTTTGATGATAAAATTAGTTTTATAACTGAAACATTTAGATTTGGAGATTAAACAGAACACGAAATATATTTTCACTGCATTGTGAATATTTAAATTAATCAAAATTAATAAATTATAATTAACTTAAAAGATTCATTATGTCATTGTAATAATACAATTTTTTGGGACAAAATTCCATTATGTTCCATAATGAAAGTAAACCAATATTGATATTACCATCGGTTAACATCTAATTACTAAAACTTAGCAAAACAGCTGTCCATTTCAGATTAAGAGTCAACTTTATTGGAATCAAAGTACTAGTTGTCATCTAAAGGCTCTGGATGAATTCAATAAAAATTTCATAGTTAAAAAAATGTTTTAAACTTTGTAATACTTCAGGTCCTGGTCTTCAAAACACTTGTTTGCATAAAAAAGTTTGCAAACTTAACAGGATGTGCAAACACTGACCAGGTGCATATGTAACAGAGAAAAAATAGCAGCATAGTCCAATTAGAGTGTTTGCCTTGGATATGTAGAACAGATGATCAGAATAACCCACAAAGGGTTCAAACCTGAAACTGATTACGGGTATAGTTCTTTTCTTCTTTAACATTATAGTTCTTTTCTTCTTTAACATTTAACACATGATTTAACACATCAGGTGCAAAAGTACACACGTAAACACAAAAAAATCTGCAAGTACTATGGCCACAAAGGTCGTAGTACTTGCAGACAATGAAGAGATATCTGGTGACCATATAAACTTACTTACTTTGGACTGCCAGAAAAAACAAAAGTAGAATATTATTAGAGGGAAAAAAAGATATCTGTGAGAGACAGATGAATTCTTTGCAGACCACTTGAAACCCATCCACTAATTGCCTAGTGTAATGTTTGTATTTTTTATTTTTTGGACAAGCAATTCAGTGCTCCTTATTTGAAATCTTTGAAGAACAGGCACTTACTCACCTTTGTAGTGATCAGTAAATTTCATCAAACATTATGATAATACAGAATGTTAGTATTGTCCACCCCTAGACTTGGGGTAGTAAAAATATGCTTATAATATAAACAGACCAAAGTAGAAAGATACGTTAGGAGAAAACATACTCTCCAACAGGAATGAAGTAGTTAACAATAGCTGCTCTGTTACCATATAGGTAATGTGAAACCTTTTTTTGAGTTAAAAACCCATAATGTCGACCAAATCGTTAATGTTGTCAGGATTATTATTAATAATGCGTGAGCGATTACAATTTATGTCCAAAATCTGTTGTCACGTCTCATGCTTATTTAATACATATAAGTTATAAAGTGTTATTTAAAGAGTTGGTCTCAAGTGATCTCTTCACAGTAAAAGAACACGAGAGATAAAGCTTCAAGGTGTAAATACAGAGCTTTCATTAACAATGTTGAACACACACAGTAGCTTCTTTGCAGAAGCAGCTTATTTTGCTATGCCATTTGCAGTACCTTCAGACCATGCTCAGGATTCATTGAAGACCCTCACGCATACATAAGGGTGCAGTTAGTTGATTTTTGCTCAGTATTTCACCTCATCAGTCAACACCAACTCATCATTATACTGGAAAACCCAAACTTTGAAACTCCATCTATTTGTGTAGAGAAGACATTTTGACCAACAGATCCAACCATGCTTTGAAAGACATCTCTACATCATGCACCAATGTCCTTAATACCGGTGTTCCACAAGGCTTTGTTCTTAGCCCACTATTGCACATTCTGCACACACAGCTGAGTAACCACCTATGGCTCAAACATCCTCACTAAATGTGGAAATGAAACAACGTTGTGCGGCTGACCAACAATAATGATGGAGGACTACAAAACAAGAAGTTTCAAGCACTGGAAGCCTGGTGCAGTGACAATTACCTAATGCTTGATACCAAAATGATAAAATAAATAATCATTGATTTCAGAACTTGACACACACACATATATACATATATATATAAATATATATATATATATATATACTGTATATCGCACTTAGGCCTGAGCATCAACAGAGAAGAAGTGTAGTGAGTCACTACAACGGGCCTAAGTTTGATTAAGATCAAAAAGGCCAAGTTAAGTATTTTCTTTGTGAGAACCCTGAGGAGGATTAAACTATCTCCATCTATGCAGTAAAGCTTCGACCACTGCACAATAGAGTTTCCTAACCTATAGATGTGCAGCATGGTATGAAAACTGTACTGCATCAAAAAAGAAACAGTAACAGCAGGTCATAAAGACTGCTTAGTCTATTATTGTCTCCCCACTTCTATGCCTAAGAACAATATCTTCGTCTAAATAATAGACTATTGCACAATTTTTTGCACTAATGGTATTAAAGACTATTTATGTTACAACATATCTTTGGTATTTCAAACCAACACTGACATTGTTAAAAAGCAATGTTGCCAAACATTATTTTGTTATAACCTGTGCATTGGCATTAAATCTAGTACTTTATCAATTTTTTTAAGATTATTTTTTAAGCACTAGTGGGCTTTATTTTTCTAATTCACTGTTTGATTTTTCTTTGTTCATTTGCATCAGATTTTTATGTATTACTACTTTTGTCAGAGTCAAGTTATTTCTGTGACAACTGTGTGGTTTTCTTTCATTAAACAAGGGTTGGCAATAATTTTATCTATGTGTGTATACATTTCATCTATGTACTGGACTGATACACTGGGGCATTTTGCGCCATTTACTTTTTAAAAATTCTTTTAAAGATTTGCCAATCAAAAACCTTTAATACAAATTGTAAATATCCATATGCTGGCTTTTTGCTCTAAGTAAAAAGTTATTGGTCTCTTATTATTGGCACGTTTCAAAGAGTTGCGCAGCGACCCTACTCTACTCTCCTAAAATTACACAATTATAGCATCATTCACATATGGGTATCTCATAAATGTAAATCTAACAGGTTCTTCTGAAGTTGTCTTCTTGTTATTTGTCATAAAATGATAAAGAAACACTAAACAATGCTAAAAGTCCAGTGGATTTAGTGTAATATTTAGTGTTTTTTGGAAAAAAAAACACTAAATATTGATAAATATGGATATGGAAACCTTTTCCTTTCAGTTTACACAAGACAGACAAACCAAGGATTTAATGGAAATGAACTCATAAATGGAGCAAGCAGGGACCTTAAGATTTTACACGTGCTATAAAATTAATGTTAGTAGAAACTTAGTGACTTTAAATAAAAAGCCATTTAATACTTGACTGAAACTTTAGATTTTCTTTAGTTTTATACTTATCAAGGCTTTAGTTTTATCTTGCACGCTGTTGTAATCCTACCTAGCAAGTCCCTCACATATTCATACATGATCTGAGCAACAGTTGGACAGCCAATGGACGAGGCGATTTTAAATGTACATAAATTAGGGAGGATTAAAGTGATGATGAAAGGGGGAGAGGGGTGCATAAAGTTTGACAAGTCAGTTAGAAGGAAATGCAAAGGTCTTTCTCTAAGTGTTGCATCCAACAAACAAAAAATAATGTAACATAAAATATGCACTTCAAAATCTATCTTATGCAAATGTATATTAGGTATTGCTACACAAAATTGAAGGCAAAACATCTAAGTGAAAATGCTATAAAAATGTACCCAAAAGTTATTATTATAAATATAATTAAAACACCTTTATTATATTTAAACAGAACATTAAAAAATTACCCAATAATCCCTACTTAAAGCGACACTGTATAACTTAACCACTAGAGGTCCTAGACCTGTAATTTTGGAGTTTAGTACCACTGAAGGCGCAATTAAAAAGTCTCAGTGTTTTGCAACTTGAAAGCAGACCAGTTTGGACCAGCAGACTGAGAAGTCATAAAGTTACTGGTAAAGACTATGCCACATTTACTCCTCTCCAATGTGAGAATGAAATGAGAACCGGACACATGTTTGATCAGGTGCATGTCTCATCTGTTATGCTGCCTAACAACTTTTACTGTATTTAACTCTCATGTTTCTGGGAGCTCAGACTGCACTAAACTGCAAAAAATATAAATCTAAGTAAGTAAATTTTTCTTAAGTGCATTTTTTCTTGAATTGAGTAGTAGAGTAGAGTATTAGACACGTTGCCAATGGAACAAGACAATTTACATTTAAAATAAGAAATAACTGCAGTCACTTATTTCAAGTGCATACTATCTGATTATCTAATTTTAAGTCTAAACATGCTCATTCCAGTGGCAGATTCGTATTTACCCACTCAAATTAAGGGTAAATACACTTTTTTAAACTTTATTTTTACTCATTTTAATATATTTTTTGCAGGGTAAAACAGCGCTCAAGGTCACATGACAGAACCTATCAAATTACATGAGCAATTGAGAAGGGGACCCTGCACGGAGCCCTGTTACAGCCAAGTAGAGTATATCAACCTGAACAATGCTTTTATACTTCTAAACTCTAAGATCATGTTTTTCAAAAGCTATTATTAGGATGCAAAGAAAGCATTTGCTGATTCACTTCAACCGTTTGCCATAGCTTACATTAGTAACGACATAAAATAAGGATGGTTTAGGTGTTATAATGATGATGGAGGTGGGATGATCGTGCTCACTTGGTTGTCTGCCGAGAGGCGGGGCATGGAAAGGGTCCGCCCATGCCCATCCATTGGGTGATAGGGCTCAGTGTCGGAGTACCCGTCCCGCCCCATCTCCCTCATCTCTACAGTCTGCAAAACACAATGAGAGGGTGGGGGGCGTGACCACTGTCTGCTGGGGGAGTGGACACTGAGATGGAGCTTGATTATTGATCAACCAAGGGGGGGTGGGGGTGGNGTGGGGGAATTAGGTGTGTGGAATGAAATAAAACTCGAAGGTATCTCTTTTTCCAAAAGATTTTATGCAAATTTAATAAATTTGTCTGCATTTATGCAACATATAGTTACATAAATTAGCTGTTGCAACGTTTGCAGAGTAAAAAATAAGGCTAAAGCATTAAGCTCTGTAATAGATAATAAACAGTGCCTTACGGAAGATATGATTTCCCTTAAACTTTTCTACATTTATGACATCACAAACACAAACTTTAATATATTTTTATGAGAATTATATATGATAAACATTCAATTGGACATAATAAAAGTGGAAGGAGAAAAACAACAGTATCAGTTTTTCTTTTTTTCTTTTTAGAAATAAAACTCTAATAAATGTGATGTGCATCAAAAAGTAAATATTGGAGAGATGACAGACCTGGTGCAGCTGGAGATGTCCAATAAAGGTGTTTATTAAAATTTGATTTTGCAGAATGTTGTGTTGGTTTTTGACACCATTTTCAGATCAAAACATTTTTCTTTTTACATTTGTAACAGTGCAGTCAACAGGCACTGATTGGTTTTTACTGGTCCTTTAATTCTGCTGCTCAGCTATCAGTCAGCACAACCTTTATCTCCAAACTGGTAAAGTATTCTCATCTTCAATGCCATTTTTGTGAATGAACACCGTCTGACAAGCGCTGGAGGTCGTAGCCTTACATGGCATTATCAGGGCAGCAATTATGCAGATTGGCAATTATCATGAACATGCGCTTACTTATGCACAGGTAGACTACATTACATTTATGAGGATCATTTACACTATTATCTGAAGTTAAGAATGTTTATTGAATCTATTATGGCCCCCTTCTAGGAGCCCACTGTAGGAGAATAAGTAAGAAAAATGTATGACAAGAATAAGAAAATGTTGTTGCATGAGGCCCAATGTTTTGCTGAGAAGTAAACATCGAACGTCTACAGCCTTCAATGGAAATATTTTTAAACCAAGATTGCTATGTAATAATCTGAGGTATAATCTGGCTAAAGAACCTTCTTCCAAATGGATGCCACATCCACCACATTTCTTGTAGCAAACATTTGAAATGTCTGATAGTTTTGACTGAAAAATTCAACAATCTCACTACTTTTGCAAAGACACCATATATGTGGACAACACAATGAAGAAATTTCCTAAACTGCTTTGGAAATAGCAGGTTTGGAAATATAATATGTATATAATGGTTTTGGATGATTAACTAAAAATATTTCATCATATTTTTGAAGTTTGGCATTCTTCTTTAATCATATAACTCTATTATATTGCCTTTTAGCCGTTATGATTCTATGTATTGATGTTATTTATGTTTTTCTCCTTTATCAAACAAATGTTATTCTGAGTTTACTACTACTTTGCCAATAAAATACATTTCATTTTTTTGTAATATCATTGTATGTAGAAAAGTTCAAGGGGTATAAATACTTTTACAACATATGTTCAGTACAAAAACTTATAAAATGAAGCAGGTGATGCAGGTTCATGTAAACAATATTAACCATGAAAAAGATGTAATATATTATTTGTAGAAGCGGAAACATTCATATGGAAAAGCTGCTGCCCAAATATTTTAATAGCAGAGAAAATTATAAAATATTTACCTTAAACAACAAAAAAAAAATCTATCTTCACTTGTAGTTCAGATATTTCATATTCGACATAAATGTTTTGGGAGGGAGAGCATAAGCAGAAAAGTAATAGCGGGGCAAACTTGAAGGTGCAAATTATGAAATAAATAGCAGTAAATATTTATTAGCAATAAATAGCATAAGGATAGCAGAGGTGTGTGAGGAGGCAAGATTAGGAATGAGGAGCAGGAGGACAATGAAATAAAAAAAAAAAGCTGAAAAAACTGAAACAGACTATGATTGAGAATCTACTGATGATTGGCTTATGGAGAGGCATGTTTGCTAAGAACCTATTGATAGAAATGATAAAATATAAAACTTTACAGCTTTAACAAAGCAATGGCACTGAGTAGAAATATTATGCGTATGGAACTTTTTTACAAAAAACTGAATGGGAAAGGGGAGAAAAACGACATATCTTAACTTCTTTTAAAGTTATGAAAAAATTGGCCATTTCTGTAAAGCTTGCCGTTTGTTTTGCAACAGCAAGAGTCCTCAGCAGGATTTCCATGGTCACATGTTAAATTATGTCATTAACCAAGTAACTGGTTAAGGTGTCTAATGTGTAATTGGAGAAGAGTGTCTCCTCAGCTTTAATGTAGCATCCTACTGGGTGCTTCTATGGATTACAATGTTTTGAGCCTTCATACCTGGGGATTATGGCGGTTTTCGTGGACGTCATCAGGATAGGGGCGGTCAGGGCTCCAGTTACCAGTCTTTTGGAACATTTCCTGTGCTTTAGCCGTCATCCATGATTGGCTTTCACTCAAACCACCTTCGGGAGGTCTGATATTTAGAAACACATACAAGGAGAGATTCAACTACAAATTCAGGTTCAGTTTAGCTCCACCTCACAGTCAATTCAATTCAGTTTACTTATATAGTGCCAAATTCACAACACATGTCATCTCAAGGCACTTTACAGTTCAACCAGATCATACAGTCAAATTGATACAAAGTTTTCTAA